GCAGAATGGTCATTAAGCACGTTCATTTATGTTTTAAGAGACGTAAAAGAGCTTTCTTTACTGCTCTGAGTATTGTGTACATTGTACTTGATGGAAGTCAAGCAGCGCACAAGTAACGACATTTACATTAACCACTTACCTTGTCAAGTAAAATAGTGTCTTCTGATGTTATGTTAAGGTTGTAAATTTTCTGGTCTTTTTGTAGGAGTTTCCAGCGATAGGTCTATGCAATCACAGGAAATGCTTCAAGCTTTTGTTGATGTAGCAGCACAAATCGAAGACAAACAATTTATATTGGAACTCCCCAGTTTGTCACCTGAAAGGATCATATTTGAAACGTACATAACTCAGTTACAAGAAGACACCACAGACGGCAGTTGCCATGGAGACAAAATAAACAAAAGGTATATGAAAATACTACCTGTGTGCCTGGGCTGTGTGCTAGAGAATGGTATAAGTCCAGAATGTTGTCATTAGAAAAACAAAATTACCGAATGCAATTCTGAAAATTTTACCAATGACCATACCGGCGGTGTAATCAGTAATGTATCATATAGCTCCTTCTCATAACCTATTGTTTCTTTGTACTGATTAAGACAAAAAGTTTCCTGATATTATTGCCTTTTTTGAACTTTTGTGCAGTCAATTTAGCCACCTCAGGGGTTTAATGGCAGACCAAAAATTACCTTTACACTTTGAAGAGTTGTGTGAGATGTGCTTTACATTGGGTGTCAGAGTTAAAATGTGGTAAAACGTTGTAAAACGTCAAGTTCTTAAAGGGTCTTGTATCTGATAAAACTAAGACCTCCGAAGAAAAGCTAGTTTTTTTGTTTGAAAAAAATACTGCGTCCCATGAAAACCAAGAATACATCACATTCATCTGACATGTCCAACATGCGAATATACTATACACACAAAAGTGACAAAACTAATGGAGATGGCACAAATAGAAAAATAACAGCTGATACTCTATTTGAGCAAAAACATAATTAAATGTAATAATGACGTTTCTTCACTCTAATGAAAGCCACTTTCCTTTCGGCATCAACTTTTTTATTAAACGTTGTGGAAAGAAGGTTGAGCCTTTGTTATGTGTCTATGGTATTGCCCATTGCACGTGACTGAGCTTTGTCAGGAAATACGAGGGTAAATTTATAGTCGGGTCGCCTGACTAATGAGGAGCTTTGGGGACAAGCAGGCAGCGACCAGTAGAGCAGGAGATAAGACAAAGAGTTGGGGTTGGATTGGCCACACGCTGAGGAGACCAAACATATACATAGCCAAGAGGGCAATAGAGTGGAACCCACAGGGGAAGTGCAAGAGAGGCAGACCCCAGCACACCTGGAGTCGCACAAGAATGGCAGAGTTGGAGGAGAGACAGCTCACGTGGCAGGAAGTGAAGCGCACTGCTCAAAATAGGGTCAGGTGGCAGTCACTAGTGGATGGCTTATGTTCCATCCGGAAGAAAGAAAATCAATTAAGTGATTGAGTGTAATACAGGCATGGAAGCTCTTCTAGTCACCTGCAAATGAATTCAGTCTACCATGAGATAATACACCTGTAGATTGTCAGTGTTGCTCAATTACAACAAACCACCTTCAAATTATCTCCAATTCCTAAATTGCATATGTGTTTACATGCTTTATGCTTACAATTTTGATATATATGAGTCTTTATTCCTGTTAAAGTTACAGATGTTTTAGAATTTTTTTTTATCGCCTTTTAGATTCATACAGAAGAGTGACACAGGCCCAATGGAGGCAAAGGAAATTAAACGGTCAGAATTGTCCAAATCAATGAAAGTGGATAAAGCAGAACCGTGTAAGGATCTAATTGGAGATATCTTATTGTTAGTACTGAATTTTTTAAAGTTTATCCCTTAGTTTTAAAATTTACCCAACCTTTAAACACATTAGTATCCCGGCTTAAAATACCCAGCTGGTTAGAACGAGTGCGGCAATAAACAAGCAAACTAAATTGCTTATGTAAAGTGATTTAGTTTCAATGTAACATCTCTGCGGTTTTTTTCTTCAGTCAGTTTAACCTTTTCAGTTCCTTTTCATGGCCAGGTGAATCCCCCTGCAGTTGGATTCTAGGAGAATGTCTAGGAAAAGGAGCTTTTTGCAAGGTAATTTTGACCTTTCCTGTGCACTAGTTCATGACCATTACTAACTGAGTTTGAGGTCTGTACTGTAAGTTACAGATCAAGATTTTTCTCTTTTGATTTATGGCCCAAGTGCAAAGCATGCTGGCCATAAATCAAAGGAGAAAAAATGGAGGATCTATAACTCACAGTGAAAAACAAGATGAAGAATTTAGAATTTTGACAACTAATATCTTGTGTGGGCAGAACGGTTGTTTACAGTCAGACTCGGTCAAGCATTCTTCCATTTTTCCATTCTTCATTATTGGAATTTGATTTCATTCTCCTTTTCAATGCCTCCACTCTAAGGGCCTATTTATATGAAGCAAAATAGTCCTTGAAGGAGGGTTAACATCCCTCCCTTTCCCCTGCTCTGAGCCATCTTATACCAATGTGCCAAGCATCCATATGAAAAACGTTGTCCCTTCTGACCAAGCCAAAGATTGACTGTCCTGGTTTCAGGCATACTCTAGATGTCCCGACTTGTCCTTTACACAGAAAAAAGTTGACCAGCCCCTCTACCCTATAGTGACCCTATCTTTAACATGGGTTGGGAGGGTAATTGCTACAGGTCAGGAAATGGTCAGGGAAAAAAAATTATTCAAGGTCAGGGAAAACTTGGGTAATTCTATTTTGAGCCAGGAAAAATTGACATTTTGATGGAAAGTCAGGGAAAATTGAAAAAATTAACACGACTGATTTAATAGCATTGAAGCTAGGCTGGAGGAAATATTTGGGTCCACTTTGATCTCAACGATATTTTTCCTGAATGAAGAAGGAAAAATTTGCAAAAACCTCTCAGTCTTAAGGATGGCTGTAAGTTCACTCTAGAAGCCGCTAGTAGATCTGACATTTTGTAATTTTTTGGTCGGGGAAATGCTATTTTTATCAGGGAAAAGTGAGGGGAATGTCAGGGAATTTTAAAAAGTGATATCTCTGGCAACTAAGGGAGCGTGATCATTATCCCAGTATAAATATGGAACTGCATCCTAAAGTCAAGGTTCAAAGCAAATTCAAAGGATGTAAGTTTTGGTTCGAGCTAGCAGGAGGTTCAAGAAATCTGTTTTCCTCTGTATGCATATTATTTATTTGTTTAAATTCATTATCACAACGTTTTGCAGGTGCACAAATGTTTTCCATCAGATAGTTGTGCCGAAACTCCCTGGGCGGTGAAAATGGTGAAAATGGAAATGGTTAGTATTGCAGTTTACGTCCTGAGATAATGTTTCTTATTTTCCAGTTTTTCACCTTTATTTTCAAATTCTCATTCTCTGAGAATAGGAATGTTCGATATATCAATATTCTAACATAGCTCCAAGGCTTTCAGGACAAACTTCTATTAATATTTGGTGGTGATTTCTTTGTATCCTTTTGAGAATTCAGGGACAAAAGAAACTTTAAAAAATTTCCAATTTTGTCCTGAAAGCCTCGGAGCCAAGTCAGAATATTGATATATCAAACATGGCAATTATGCTTTTATCCGCACATAAATGTTTTGTCTTTTTTTTTTGCTGTCGGCCTGTTCCTTAGTTAAAGTTGGGGATTCACCTGTATTTGTACTACAATTTTTAATGTTTCGGTGCTCAGAATATGTTTTCCTTTACTGTTATGTAAATCAATTTTGGTTTCCATCGTGACACAAGTAAATATTTTTGTCTTCACAATGATTCATTCTCTCATATTATCTCTTTGAGTAAAACGTCTCTGGCCGGTCAACCGTAGGTATAATTTGCAACTTTTTCACGAAGGTTTTCCTTTGGGCTAATAATATAGGAAGATGCGTTTAAGTGTTAGATGTTTGAAATTGATTTCTCTCCCACTTTTCAGTTGGAAATAGCATAAGTCAGAAAAGGAAATCAGATAAGGTGTGTTTCTGCAGGGAAAATCGGTTTACTAGTAAGCGTGCAACATTATTTAACATATATCTTTTTCAGCCCCCTAAGGGAGACTCAGAGCTCAATCATGAAATAAGTCTTGTGAGGAACCTAAGACATGAGAGAGTCGTATCATATTATGGAAGTCAAAAGAGAGATGGCTATCTTCATTTATTTATGGAGTTCATGGCTGGGGTAAGAGCATTTTTTTAGATATATAACTAAAAAGTGACTATTATTCACTATCGCAGCATTGGCTTCGGAATGGAGCACAGCAGCTGTATAGGGGTCGACAACCATTTGCGCCCGATACAGGTCGCTTTTCTATGCACTAGAGGTCAAATTGCTCATAACTGTACTAGCATTTTTGAGGGAGGGCTTGATAAGTAGCGTTCACTATACATGTCAATAAGAAAACATGTTTTGGTGGTAGCGCAGACGACAAAAGTAGTTAAGGGCACAAAGCAGTTTCCCTTTTGAAAAGTCAACTGTGACACAAATGTCCTGGTAATCACAAAAAATTTATCCTACCAAACAAAAAATCCCCCGAATGCAAAAATTAATTCTATGAAAATTGTGTTATAAGTTGGCTCGGTGTAGTGTCTTAGCTTGTATATATCCATTTATTCAGAACTTTTGTTCTCTGTAATGTCTTTGTTACATGTTTCCGGCACTAAACCTGTGTTTACTTTGCTTATATGCTTATACCTTGATTTTGAAATCTACTTGATTTATTCTCATATGTTTCGACCGGAGTTTGTGAAATATAATTCCATTTATACCAGGCCGCCTTGTGGCCCTGGTGTAATTGGGATCATATGAACAAATGGAAGAAGAAGAAATATATGAAAACTTCCCTTCAACCCCCCCCCCCCCCCCCCCCCCCCCCCCCCCCCCCCCCCCCCCCCCCCCCCCCCCCCNTTTTGGTCGGGGAAATGCTATTTTTATCAGGGAAAAGTGAGGGGAATGTCAGGGAATTTTAAAAAGTGATATCTCTGGCAACTAAGGGAGCGTGATCATTATCCCAGTATAAATATGGAACTGCATCCTAAAGTCAAGGTTCAAAGCAAATTCAAAGGATGTAAGTTTTGGTTCGAGCTAGCAGGAGATTTAAGAAATCTGTATTTCTCTGTATGCATATTGTTTGTTTAAATTGATTATCACGATGTTTTGTAGGTGCACAAATGTTTTCCATCAGATAGTGGTGCCAAAACTCCCTGGGCAGTGAAAATGGTGAAAATGGAAATGGTTAGTAATGCAGTATACGTCCTGGGATAACGTTTCTTATTTTCCAGTTTTTTACTCTTACTTTCAATTGTAATTCTCTGAGAATAGGCCATGTTCAATATATCAATATTCTAACATGGCTCTGAGGCTTTCAGGATAAACTTCCATTAATATTTGGTGGTGTTTTCTTTGTTTCCTTTTGGTAATTCAGGAACAAAAGAAACTTAAAAAAAATTCCAATTTTGTCCTGAAAGCCTCGGAGCCAAGTCAGAATATTGATATATCAAACATGGCAATTATGCTTTTATCCGCACATAAATGTTTTGTCTTTTTTTTTTGCTGTCGGCCTGTTCCTTAGTTAAAGTTGGGGATTCACCTGTATTTGTACTACAATTTTTAATGTTTCGGTGCTCAGAATATGTTTTCCTTTACTGTTATGTAAATCAATTTTGGTTTCCATCGTGACACAAGTAAATATTTTTGTCTTCACAATGATTCATTCTCTCATATTATCTCTTTGAGTAAAACGTCTCTGGCCGGTCAACCGTAGGTATAATTTGCAACTTTTTCACGAAGGTTTTCCTTTGGGCTAATAATATAGGAAGATGCGTTTAAGTGTTAGATGTTTGAAATTGATTTCTCTCCCACTTTTCAGTTGGAAATAGCATAAGTCAGAAAAGGAAATCAGATAAGGTGTGTTTCTGCAGGGAAAATCGGTTTACTAGTAAGCGTGCAACATTATTTAACATATATCTTTTTCAGCCCCCTAAGGGAGACTCAGAGCTCAATCATGAAATAAGTCTTGTGAGGAACCTAAGACATGAGAGAGTCGTATCATATTATGGAAGTCAAAAGAGAGATGGCTATCTTCATTTATTTATGGAGTTCATGGCTGGGGTAAGAGCATTTTTTTAGATATATAACTAAAAAGTGACTATTATTCACTATCGCAGCATTGGCTTCGGAATGGAGCACAGCAGCTGTATAGGGGTCGACAACCATTTGCGCCCGATACAGGTCGCTTTTCTATGCACTAGAGGTCAAATTGCTCATAACTGTACTAGCATTTTTGAGGGAGGGCTTGATAAGTAGCGTTCACTATACATGTCAATAAGAAAACATGTTTTGGTGGTAGCGCAGACGACAAAAGTAGTTAAGGGCACAAAGCAGTTTCCCTTTTGAAAAGTCAACTGTGACACAAATGTCCTGGTAATCACAAAAAATTTATCCTACCAAACAAAAAATCCCCCGAATGCAAAAATTAATTCTATGAAAATTGTGTTATAAGTTGGCTCGGTGTAGTGTCTTAGCTTGTATATATCCATTTATTCAGAACTTTTGTTCTCTGTAATGTCTTTGTTACATGTTTCCGGCACTAAACCTGTGTTTACTTTGCTTATATGCTTATACCTTGATTTTGAAATCTACTTGATTTATTCTCATATGTTTCGACCGGAGTTTGTGAAATATAATTCCATTTATACCAGGCCGCCTTGTGGCCCTGGTGTAATTGGGATCATATGAACAAATGGAAGAA